ATATATATATATATAGAAAAGGTACGAACGTATTCTTTTTCTGAAGTGTTGGTCGAAAAAGGATCCTTTAAAGAATGAAATATATATATATATATATATATATATATATATATATATATATATATATATAACGAAGTAAATAAACGCTAAAATAGTTGTTTAAAATAATACGTGTTAAAAGTGCTCAAGGTCTCATCAGGTTGTTAACAAAATAATCACAGTCAACACAGCAAGTACTTAAATTTCTTAATGCGAATCCGGAAGTTAAGAGGGGCAGGAGGAGTGGGGTAAAAAGGAAAAGAAAAAATTGTTTTTCCAACTTCAACCGGGTTCGTATAATCCTAAAGTCAACTTCCTCAAGTGTCTACATTTGGCCATAATTTCGGACCTCTCATTCAACAATCCAGTACCATCCCTGCATGTTGCAGTGGCCATCTTCTCTTCCTGACACAGCTTACAGGAGTTACTATTCACTTTACTAGCATTTACTTTTCTTAAAATTTCCATTTAATGGCCGGTCTTCTTTCATTCTTTCTCTAAAACTCCAATAATTGTTTGCTAGCCTTGTATTGAACCTGCGTTCGGGTATTCTAAATGACGAAGTATGATTATACTACCTGTTTTTAAATTGGCCTTCAATGCAACCAATGTATGTTTATGCACTGCCATTGCCATTTTCTATCTCGCCACAGTACACAACACCTTGTGCGCAACATACTTCATTTAAGGGACAATTATTTTTCTTCTGAAATTACAAAGGACCTTAGTTCCACTCCTCACATGTTCTTCAAGATTCAAACTTCTTGTGTTCAACATTTAAATAATGTTGCCAAGGTTGCTAGTGCTTGACTGTGATGCGAGTAAATAATTTGTACAAACCGGACGTTTTGGGAAACGCTAAAAAATATTTTCCCTCTATTTGTTTTTACTTGCATGTTGAAGGGTGGGGGGTTGAAGCAAATAACATTACTTTTCCTTTTACTATTGTCACCTGTTCTCTACTTGGTCCTTGAAACACGGGTTTCATTTTTTCTTTTATTATCCGGTACCATCATCAGTTCATCATCACGGTATATTCCGTGGTCGTCGGCGTGGATAATATTACTTTGCTCAAAATGTAGATTCCCATCAGTTCAGACACGTCTGCCCCGTCGAATGATCCTTGGGAAACATCGAAGTTACCAGCTTTGAATATCTTGATCCATGCTTCACCATTATGAAATAATACTGATTTACGGCAATGTAGAATGACTTTAATCTGTTCAGACATTAAACATACGATATCATGGCAAGCAGAAAAGCTTCCAATAAACCTTTTTTCTGTTATAGATGGATAAAAGTCCCTAATGTCGTATTTAATAAACATTTGATTAATCTTGTTCGGAGTGTTATTAAACCAGGAAATACAGTCGGAAGTGCTCTTCCACTTGCGTAGCTAGCCTGAGAAGCTTGCAGGTATCCATGATAATTTTATGGTTTGTAATACCTAACTCCGTTTTTGTCGGGTTTATTAAACGGAAAGATGGGCTGCTGAAGAAGTCTTTTACTATCAGGAAAGTTTGTTTTTTAGTCATTGTCCTGAATTTATTGCTAATGTCAAACATTGTGAAGATCTATTTAGCTTCTGTATTAATTTCATCCAAGTAAGAAGCAGGAAAGTTATTGTAAAATTTAGTTACCTCCTCTGAAATTCTCTTTCTGTACGCCCTAGGGATCATGGTATATAACTTTTACGTTTTATTGCCCATAAAAAAGATTTTCATAAATTTTTTTAACCCTCCAATGTCTGTTGATAATTTCTTCTGAAAAATATTCTTATATATATATATATATATATATATATATATATATATATATATATATATATATAGATAGATAGATAGATAGATAACATTTATAGATTAAATTTTACTTTCAATGGATACCCATATTTGAGTACGTGGTCTGTTTTTATTTGTTTTATTAAACAGTAGATTTCGATCTACCGGCTGGAATATAGCTAAAAACAGACCATCAACATCCATAAAAAATAACGTTTAAGCAATAAATAAAAATATGTTGGATTAAAACTGAAAGATCCATTCATATATACATATATATATATATATATATATGTGAAAAGTGTATATAAATATAAATAAATATAAGTATGTATAATTATTTATATATTATAGGCGCAGTACTTATTAGAAAGCGCTCAATATCAGAGATAGAGCTAACATATTTGGTTGGATAGATGTGAGTTTCACAAACTCACATCTATCCAACTAAATATATATATATATATATATATATATATATATATATATATATATATATATATATACACTTATATTCTAAAGAATTAATGGATTAATTTTAAAATACATACTTTTTAAAGTAATACGCACTGTTTAAAGTAAAATAAAAATGGGGCGTATATTTCAAATACGAGTATCCACTAATAATAATGCTAGAATATATATATATATATATATATGTATTAGACCAAGGTTAGAATTTCAACATGGACGATTTATTAAGAAGATCACTTCTTGATAATATTGGCATGTGATGCACATCTGTGGTACCGTTGGCAGGAAAGTGAAACACATACCACGGGTTGACACAAACCTCCTGAGGGAACTTGAGAAGACGAAACTGTTCGGGAGCTGTTCGTACGAAGTTATAAGTTATTGTGATGAAGGCTTTGCCTATATTGGCTTGGTTCAACTATTCATCACGCCAGATAATGAGTTATCTCGCATAAAATACAATTAAGGCCCGCTCCGTGTAGCTGGTGTAATGACAACAAGTTAGCTCTATGGGAGTTGGCTCCCCAACGATCACCGAAGTTAAGCAACGTCGAGGCAGGTCAGTAATTAGATGTGGTGTAATTGGCTCGAAATTGTTAATCGGAAAGCCGAGCTCCAATTCCCGTTGGGTTCATTATATTCACTTTCGGCCAAATACTCTTGGGAGATATATGAATCCACCTCTTCTCTCCCCCAACTATGGGTTAATTAGTAATACTTGCATCACTAAAACATTATTATCTCCCCCCCACAAAAAACTTCTTACAATCTAAAAATATTTTCTGGATTTAAATAACCTGCAAGGGGTTGATAAACCGTAAAAAACGAACCAATCAATCAGTGAAATAATGATTAGCTGCACAAGCATGTCTTTTAGATTTATTTATTTTCTCTGGAATATAAATATATAGAAAGTACCTTGCCCCCAAAGCCAGGGCTCAGTTTATGTATTGATTGTATTATAGAATCGATCCCCCACTTTATATCCACATTATAATTTCTTGTTATTTTATTAAATTCTGATTGAGTAGGGATCCACCTGGTCTCCCTCCAACTATAGGTTAATTAGTAAGACTTGTATCGCTAAATCATTATTATTTCCTTCAACTAAAAATTCTTACAATCTAAAAATAATTCCTGGCTTTAAATAACCTGCAAAGGGACAAGGAGCCGTATAAAGTGAATGAATGAATCAATCAAATGTTGGGGTTAAAAGCAGAAATAGGTTTGAGTAGATATCTGCATCAAAGGATTAGCTGCCGACGAGACTTGAATCGTTGCCGAATAGATTCATCTGAAAATATACCTTTTCTTCAGTTTTTAGATTTCATTTTGCTTAGCGAATGGTCGATGTTTAGATTTCATTGTTACTGTTAACCGTGGTTTACAAGTCAGTTTGAATCAAAATATCAGACGACATTAAACTTCCATAGAATTTACATTTGTAACATCTTGAAACAAATCAAAGAACTTGTTGGGGTTCTTATAGCAATGCGCTTCATCAAATGGTCAGTGCTTTCACACCGGTTTTCTTTGGAAGGTCAGTTTCCCCCTAATCCTTTGAAGTAGGATTTCACTCCCTCCACTCACCAAATTCACTTCTCCTCTTGTCCCCAAATTTTGGAAATTCACGATAGCACGGTGCACGGTTGTTTTACTACAACCTACTTTGATACTAATTTCCCGTTCAGAATAGCCTTCATTGTGTATACCACAATTTGGGCAGTTTTCGCAAACACAGGACGAACTGGAAAATGGATTCTTGGAAACATGCAAACTTAAAGAAAAGATATGCAAAAAACAATATTGGGTATTTATTAAATAAGTATTTGTTAATTTAATCATTAAATTGATTTTAAAATAGTGGGAGTATTTTGTATGTTAAATAATAAAACTTAAAATTTTTTAACCAAAAATTAATGAAAATTTATTGTACTAGGCTACGCACCCTAGTAAAGCCTTGTGTACTTTGTACCTTATTACATATTTGCATTTTACCCCCCCTCCCAAAATTCGGTTTCAATCGGTCAATGTATGGCTATTTTAAACAGTGTAACGGACGGAAGAATTTTATATAAAGATAGATAGATAGATGACTGAGAGATGAAGAGAGAGAGATAGAGAGATAGATAGATAGATAGATAGATAGATAGATAGATAGATAGAGAGAGAGAGAGAGAGAGAGAGAAAAAGAATGAATGATGGACAGAAAAAGAATGGTTAAATATGGTGAGTAATGCAAAGAGCGTCGTAACCTTTATATTCTTAACTGGCTAAAAAAAAAAAAAGAATGGCTCTTCGTTTCGTAATTAATAACATTGATAAGAGAATGTTATTTATCACTTACTCATCATAGTCACGTTGGCATAATTCTCTGGACAGTGAACAAGCAGAAGTTTGTTGCAGGACTTGTGGAAATTCTGGACATACCCTGAAAAAAAGAAACAAAACCATTGATGTCAGACTCAAAAATGCAATCCTGAAAATTAAGCATTGAAAAATGACAAAAGAATGAAAATTAATCTGCATGAAACAATTCAATCCATGTCATGACTTTGAATTCAGTAAAACCATTGTGTGGATGTGCAGGTGGTGTAATCGCTCGAAATGGGAAGTCAGCAAGCCGGGTACGAGTTCTGGTCAAGATAGTTATATTTCCTTTTGTATTCACTTTCCCCCTGAGAAAGGTGGCTACCGGCCGCATTACGTTGAAACATCGGCTCCCATATGATCACCAAAGTAAAGCAACGTAGAACCTGGTCAGTATCTAGATGGGCGAACGTTTGGCAATACCAGGTGCTGTAAGTTAGGGTGTGCGGGTGGTGTTATGGATATTGGCTCTGACTTGTTAATCGCAGAGTCGAGTTCCAATTGGGTTCTTTACATTCATTTACGCTCAAATACCCTTGGGATGTATACAATGTATACAAAGTACATTGGCCACAAAGTGAGAGATCAGATTATATATTGATTGTCATATAGAATTGATCCCCCACTTTATATCCACATTATAATTATTTGTTTATTTATTCAATTCTGATTAGTTTTAAATTCTCTCCCAGCTATGGGTTAATTATTAAGACTTGTAACCCCAAATAATTATTATCTTCCTTCACCATAAAAATTCTTACAAGCTAAAAATATTTTCTGGCTTTAAATAAGCTGCAGTGGGTTGATAAGCCGTAGAAAACGAATCACTGAATCAATTGAGAAAGGTATAAATTCATATATTACCCCAAGCTATGGGTTAAATATTAGAGCAGCCTGATTTGATAAGCAGTAGAAAACGAATCAGTCAATCAACTGAAAAGGGTATGAATTCATCTCCTCCCCCAAGCTATGGATTAAATACGAGAGCAGACTGAGTTCTCGAGCCTCAGTTGGCAACAAGTATAAACAAAAGAAAACAACAGGTTGGTTCTGAAACATAAATGGGTCCGAGAGTTTGTAAATGCTCGAAGAAGAACAGCCAAGAAGTTGCACTGATTTGCAGTGTGTCTTCAAGTCGAAACAGCTTCAATGAAGAATGTATCGTTTACTTAGTCTTTAGTTTCCTGGAAAGGGATTTTCAAGAAACAGCATAAAAATACAGCTAAAATATTATGTTCCAAGTTCATCATATACAAAGTAGAATAGGGTTTCCCAAACTGGGGGATATCGCCAACATGTGAGCGATTTCAACTGTTGGGTGGGCGATGAGCCACTGAACAAAAAATGTTGGGTGAGTGAAAATTTTGATGGATTTGAGTATTAAACAGGTATTTCAACATATTCTACTCGAAAGAACCCGTATACAAAAAGAAAAACAACAATAAAGAATAAAAAAGAACAGGAGGCTAACTTGGAACGTCTGAGTCACATTCCCAGATCAGATATAAATATCCCCAGAAACAACGGATATTTGGTATTTTCTATTATTTTGAGAGGGCTCATTCCCATTCAAATAGTTCTTCAGATGAAATAACATTTTTTCGGATATAAATCCGATAACGGAAGACCAAGGAGAACAAAAAAATATTCGCTGAATTTTTATTAATTTCTAGCAGAATATATTCTTTTTAATATTATAATTGTGAAAAAAATTGTTGCATTTCCTGTCAACACTTGCAATGCTAACGCTAACCATGACCTTGACCATGAAACTAAATTATATATATATATACTTTTCATTGGACAAGTTTGCTTTCTTTTGTTCTTTAATATGGTATTAGAATCAGAAGCAGTAGCAGTCGCATAAGTAGTGTTATTTGTTATCTCCCTTTAGTATATTTACTACATCATAAAACCAATAACAAACTTTTAACAAACAATTTGGATAAGCTTTTGTATATTTACTATACAGGCAGGCGGTGGAAAATTTTTCCATGTGAAAGTAAGCGATGATGCAAAAAAAGGTTGCTAACCCATCATGTAGAAGCTCAAATAAAATGTCAGTGTAAATTGATGTTCTCTGTAGCCTGTGACCACACGGATATGACAAACATGCAAATATAATTTCTTCCGATCCAATGATTCCATATCGAATAACACTGGAAATACTAAAAGCCACCAGATGCCAAAGTTTCCATAAAGCATTGATTACACAAATATGTACAGAGTTTTTTATTTATTCGTAATGATTCCATAAAGAGTGACAACACAAATCCGAAAAGCGTATACAGAATGCAAATAGTCGCCAACATTTCTATTGTGTATTTAATTAGCAAATATATGAAAAGTTTCATTCATTCTCACGATTCCATATAGACCAGTGTTTCCCAACGTTTTTCCAACCAACGCACTCTTTGGGTACAACCTTTTTGTCAACGCAACCCTCCGTCAAATTAAATTTCGAATATTATATTAAATTCATCTTTTATAGTAAGATAACACTTAGGTATCAGTACAAAAATCATTTTAATATTGTTTTCATTTCTATTATAAATGCCAATGATTAAAATGCTGAAGAAAAAATAATATTTATTTGATAGCTGATCTCAATGTTTTCAATGGCTGACTTTGGCGCTTACTGTCTAAGGATCTTACTCTAGGTTCCATGATGCTTAGAAGTATTCCTAGATCTCCTCGTTTTGTAATTTGCAGGCGTTTTGTTTAGTAAGAAGCTGTGCCAATGCGTTGAAACCAAATTCAGCCATATTGGAAGTTGGAAAAGCAATGATAAAAAGATAGCTTCTTAAAGATTTCAGAAATTTCCTTTTGTAACAAATATTGAATAATTTTTGAAAATTTAAAAAATAATGGATAACTGTCCACCACCCTACTGATTATTTTCACCCTCACCAAATGAAATTCAACGCCCCCAGTGCCCCCTTTCAGCATAACAAAGCCGACAAAGTGGCGCAATCGTCGATGTTGGGAAACACTGAGACAAACGAACCCAGCAAATATGAAAAGCATATGTAAAAGCAAACAGATGCAAAAATGTCCATTGTATATTTAGTCTGTTAAAATTGATTGATTCGTTTTCTACGGCTTATCAACCGTTTCCTGGTTATTTAAAGCCAGAAAACATTTTCAAATAAGAAGATTTTTTTTTTTTTAGAGATAATAATGGTTTAGGGATACAAGTCCTACTAAGTATCCCGCAGCTGGTGGGTAAGAAGAGGAGGATTCATACCTTTCCCAGTGGTATTTTAACGTAAGTGGATATAACGAACCCAACTAGAATTGGAACTCGGCTCTCCTGAATCTTGTGTATTCCCTTTACTAAGTCTTACTAATTAACCCATACCTGGGGTCCACCTCCTTTTATATATTTTTGTTCCCTCATATAATTGTATGCATATATCAAGGGTGTATTATTATGTCCTTTGTAAAAATGAGGTATTTTGATGCCTATTCGAACCGAATGGTGAAGGATGACTTCTTATGATGCTTGTGTTAACATGGCACAGTGAATAATAAAGCCGTTAGTTAGACCCAGTGACAGGACCTAAAGAGTGTACATAATACTTCATCTCAGAAATATAGACATATGCTTGCGTCAATTGTTAGAATGAATAGGTCGTGAATTGAACAAGCAAGGAGCAGGATAGTTACAAATAACTAAGCTCTCCTCTTTCTTAATTCGGCCCTGTGCTAAAAGCATTGTATTTTGCTAAACAAACATTTTCAGACCCTGTTTGTTGGTAGAACGAAACGTTAGTCTATTGCTAGCATTTTGGTTCGCCAATCCAGGTTTTTGAATGCCAATATTATATTTTCAGGGTTATTATTTCTACAAAGGGAATCGATACGACACAGTCGGCCTTCTTTATAATGTATTGTGTATTTACGGGTATAATCTGTTGGCCATCCTTTTTTTATTTCCACCATCAAACAATTAAAGAAGTATTTGGCTTTTTAATCATTTAATAAATTTAGGCTCCATTCAAGATATATATATATATATATATATATATATATATATATATACCTCTCCCTCCAGCTATGGGTAAAATAGCAGGACAGACTAGGTTCTATAGCCTTGGATGGCAACTGGTCTAAGAGAAGGACAACTCTGAATTCAAAACCTGCGGAGGGTCGTTTGGGAACCTTGTGGTCTTCGGTGCACCAGGTCTCTGTATTCGTCCCTTCAAAAATGTGTGGATGGTCCTGCACGAAGCCTTCACCATTATAATCAAATCTCATGTGCCGGTGTCGGACTGTCGGCTTCCTGGAAACTGATCTGCTTGACCCTCATACGTCGAATCTCATCGGGAGAGTCGATTATATATATATATATATATATATATATATATATATATATATGTGTGTGTGTGTGTGTGTGTGTGTGTGTGTGTGTGTGTGTGTGTGTGTGTGTGTTGTGTTATTTTCGTCTAACTATCTGAATGTCCGAAAAATCTTACTAAAGAAAAAATGAACCTGCGTATCTCAGGACAGAGGCAGGTACTATTAGGCACGACACGCCTTAACCAACTTGGCCATGAAGAGCAGTCGATCAGGCTAGGCCAGTGGCTCCAACCGATTTTGGACCATGCCCAAAATTCTGGTCCCCCCTTTGTAATATTTAATTCTTACATATATGCCAATTACACATGTAAGTACATACACACAAAATATTTTATGTGTGACTACTGTATATGCATCGTATGTATTAACACGCATTAAGATTAACACTCTCAATCAGAATCACTAGGAAACAATTCACTGTTAGTAACTCATTCTCGAATTGTCCCCTTATTCTGTTGGTATAGTCAGCCGAAGGGTACACATCCTACGCATGCCCCCATCAAAATATTATCAGTGGGGCATGCGACCCCGTTGGGAAATATTGTGCTAGACCAAATCCTATTTTTAAGCGAAATTTTTCCCGTAATAGAATCTCTCGAAGATTTTTCATATCTGCTCAGGTTTGTTTTAAAATTTAAACAAAGAGAATTTTCGAATGGAAATTTTACTAATCGGATATATTTTTATCACTTTAAACGTTATTTTCGGGGATACTCATATTTGAGTAGACGCTCCTTTTATTTATTAAACAGCATATTTATTTATTTTTGTCTACTAGCCTGAATCTTCGTGAAATGTTTGTAAAGAAAAATTTAAACTCTCCGACAGGATTTGAACCTGCGTCACCCAGGGCAGAAGGAGCTACCGTTAAACCCGAGTGCAAAGGAAATTTTAAGGGAAATGGAAAAAAAGGATGCTTATACTTAGATCAGAAAGAAAAGAGACAGAAGAGAGGTCTTGAAGAATTTGATACTGACAAGACACGTTGATGGTTACTTTCCCCAGTCTCACTGACTGGGGAAAGTAACGAGTAACCTACCAAACGAGTAGATTGAGTTGATAAGCCGTAGAAAA